ATCTTTTAAAAAGTGTCGCATTAGCAATGCTCTCAGTAGAACGGAAGATGACGCATTATTTAACGACGATGATAGTAGTATTGAAAATGAGTATCAGAGTTTTGATAACGAAAACGACGAATTTTATGGATTTGAAGATGAATAAAATTTTAATGGTAACTCTACTGTTTTGCTCAAATGTAATAATTGCTTGATTTTTATTTTGTTTTCTTACCTTTGATTAATAAAGTTTTTATAGGCTCATGTTTTTTCCTATTATTTTTCGTTTAATTGTAATCATGGCTTGTTTAATCAAAACAATACCTCATAAATATAGCCTAGGCTGTACCATTTATTAATAATTTTACTAATTTTATTAATTACTAATTTTATTAATTCCTAATTTTTCCTTGATCTGCTCTGCTGATATTGGGGTGCATCTTAAACACTCGTGTGTCTTATATACCGTCAAATACGGTAATTTCCAAATGCAGGCAAGAAAACAAATTCCTACTACACTATCTACAATAACAGTATGAACAAAAAGACTAAAAAGCATTAAACAAAAAAACTGTAAAATGTTCCTTCATTAACTATGTCAACTTCCCCTACCCCACCACCATCTATATATAGAACACACTGAAGGAGAAATTACACTTGGTCTGAATATCACATTACATCACAAATCGTTTAGTAGCCATACAATGTTGATATCGCTAACTTTATTGTCTATATATATAAACCACACTGAACACTCTTTCTACATAAATATAGCCAATTATAATATATATATATATATATATATATATATATATATATATATATATATATATATATAGGCACGTGGTCGAGTGATTAGAAAGTTCTCATTCTGATCCTGATACCCAGGTTCCAATCTCACCATGGTCGATTAGGATGTTATCGGACTGGTGGCGTCGATTCCATCGTGCGGCACCTTCGGGAAGTTCCTAAAAACCATGCCACGGGTCGACCCGAGTCTTGTGAGTAAAATTGGGTAGACAGAACCGTTGGGTGCCGTAGATAGCTGTGCTAGCACGAAGTTACAAGTCATCGTGTCTGAGGCCCTGAGCGTGCTGACCTTGTTCAAATTGTTGATCACGCTAGATAACACGCTCTTTCCCAGAAACTGTAACTAAGGTCTGCTCAGCGTAGTGTTTTGTGTGTTAAATTCACGTGAGCAAGCGCCTGAAATAGGGTGTGGCTAGCCGCCCTAGTAGACGGGTATCCTCGAATACAATTGACCAGCTACACACACACACACACACACACACACACACATACACACAAATATATATATACTCAGTAACCACTTAATTACAACACAGTTAAGCGAATAAATACTCTTTTATGCAAATTTTTAATCAAGCGATGAAGGGACATCGATTTAATAAATAGATGTTATTTAAAAATAGTCATAGCGACCTACTGAATTTCATTTTATGTATTAGTATGAGAAAAAAGGTAATTTAAATAATGTTTAAAGTGACATGACCGTTGGGCTGATCTGAGTGTTTTAAAATCTGCTTATCTATAAGGATTTTCGAGTCTCGGGTTTACAGAAAATGATAAGAAGAAAATAAGATTAATGAACAGAAACTTTGTGAGTGGAAATCCTTTGTTGATGAAAAAGATTGTGGAGAGACTGGCTAGAGTTGTTCAAGCCGATAGAAAGGCAACAGAAGCTGAAACTGAAATGGACGTATAAAAATGCTGTAATGCCGTAGGCCATCTACTTCAATGGGCAGAGTAGGGATCACAATTCGCTAGGGATTCGAAAAATTGAACAGTAGTATCATGGAAAAAGGTTGGTTGATCTGTTGAGTTTCGTTTTCTGTTGCGATATAAAGTTAATTGGGCGAGAAATTGGCTTGGCATACATTGACACGCTTGGTACCCCAATAAAAGGAGTTTAAATGCAGCAGACTACCGAGGTATTGCGACTGTCCACGTATTTCAGCAGGACAAAACTCCGTGTCAAAAATAAAAGGGTAGAGAGATTTAATGGTTTAGAGCACTTTTATCATGTGAAGGAAACGGTGATTCAAATCCTGCGAGTAAAGTTTAGAAGAACTGAAAAATAACATAATCAGAGTATGAACGCAAATTTATAAACAGTGCATCAAGCAAAAGCAAAAGCGCTAAATTCATGTCAAGAAGAAGTTCTAAAAGCAGAAGGGTTCCAACAATCTGGTAGTAAAATAATGTACGTAATATATATATATATATATATATATATATATATATATATATATATATAAATGAGTTGAAGATGAAATGTAGATCAGATATGGATAGGAATCTGACAAGATGATAAAATGAAATAAAGAACAAGTAGGAAACGAATCTCGATCTGACATGTTTCGCCATTATTAAGATTTCGTCAGAGATGAAGAATAGAAATGAGAAAAGCAGAGATCTTGAATGTTATGTTATATATATATATATATATATATATATATATATATAAAAGTTTGACATGAAAAACTGAAAAGGTATTATTGTGATGCGTTTCATCCGTTAGGATTTCCTCGGACTGGGCTTTGGTGAAATTGCCATATCTACACATGATCAAGAAACTAGAGACGCTCAGGGATATTTGTGTTTCTTCAACACCCACAGAGCCAATCGGTAGTTTATAATGCAACTATGCTGAGCAGACCTTATTTAGAGTTTCTGTGATAGAACGGTGTATCTAACATGGTCAACAATCTGAACCCCTCGGCCACGGTGACTTATGACTTCGGCCTCAAGTGTTGCATCAACCCGTGGTATGGTTTTCAAGATTTTCCAAAAGTGCTTCACGCTAGAATCATCCCCCCCCCAACCGTGGTGAGATTCGAACTTGGGTTTCATGGTCTGAAAGCGAATGGCTAAGCGCCCATATATATATATATATATATATATATATATATATATATATATATATATATATATATATATATATATATATATATATATATATACATGTGTGTGTTCCCATATGTTTTTCTTAAATAACACCTACAGGGTCTGTCTATTAACTGTTTTATATTGTCTTTCTAATTTCCGATTTAGACTTGGTCGGAAATTGCAATGACAATATAAAAATTATATATATATATATACACACATTTCGGGAGCATGGTAAATTCAAGTGGTTCGCTGCGTAAAGGGGAACAAAGCATTGCACTAAAATCCAAATGTACAAAGCTGTCATTTTGTCAAACTCTTTTATATGGCTCTGAAACTTGGACACCTTATAGATGGCACATTAATCAATAAGATGTCTTCCATAAAGGTTGTCTCCATATAAGTCGGTGGCCTGACGTTTGATGATTGAGTGTCAAATGCCGACGTTTTTGAGAAATGCAAAATTGGTACCATAGAGACTTTCATACTGCAATCGCAACGGCATTGGGCTGGCCATGTGGCAAGGATGTATAATGATTGTATACCAAATGTTATTTTTTACAGTCAACTCCATAGTGGTCATAAAAATGTTGGTAGACCTTGGCTCAGGTATAAAGATAAACTGAAGAGCAACCTTTCTTGTGTCAACATTGCATTCAAGAACTTTGAAGAAGTCGCTGTGAAGAGATCAGAGTACTGATCTAGCTGCCATGCAAGAATGAAGCACAATCAAGCAGTCAGCATTATTCGACTGCATGAAACACGAAAGCGAAATAAAACAGCTAACAGTATTCCTGTTGCACTTTCTTGTTGTACTCTCTCCTGTACTGTTTGTGGTCTTTTGTGCAATTCACGCGCTGGCCTCAAAAGTCATGCCCGTCATAGTATGCAGATAATTAGTTCGTGGTCGTCGGAACCTCATACGTCGAACTCAACAGGAGAGTCCAACATATATATATATATATATATATATATATATATATATATATATATATATATATATATATATTATAATTTTTCATATAGACAAAAACAATGTACTCATGACAAAGATACAACTTCGTTTCAGTGCATTTCGTTGCACCTCGACTGGTGAGAACCAAAATCATTTTGTAAATTGTTTTTGTCTATATGAAAAAAATTATAATAAATAATTATTGCTCTAATATCGGCATTGACCCCCTTTTCAATTAATGCTGGGAACGTTAGAATTTATATATTATTTTCATTCTCATTACATTCGGATAAAATATATATATATATATATATATATATATATATATATATATATATATAAGCATAACGGTTTTCTTTTTCAGTAAGATAAATATTATTAATATTTATCAGGAACAATAGTAGTCACATTGTAATGATTTAAGATAAATTATCAAAAATGAATCACTCTTGTTGAACAAACTAAAAATATCAAATATCTCGTATAAAAAGATCAAACATAAAATCTTATCAGAAATAGCGAATCGCCGTTGAAAGCAAAACTATAAAAGACCAAAATTATTTATGAATTCAGACGCTCCATAGGAAAATATGTATCCGGTGAAAATAAACTTATAAATAATTACGTTGCTCATATGACGACTCACCTGTTAAAATGTCTTGCTCTACTTCTTAACAAAGCTCAATCGACACATTTAAAGCAACATAGAATTGTACCAAATCCTATAGAAATCATCCTCGTTGACAACATGAATGTGATATTTACACCTTCTAGGGTTAAAAGCGTTTAAGAGTAATGGAAGCCCTTAATTTAAAAAACAAACAAACAAGGGCCCAACCTTTAGTAGCTTCCATGTATGTTTGAATATATTTACGTTCAATAATTTGATGTCGTCTTAAACATCACACAGTACGTATTCATAATATTCAATCTTTGCTTTCCAATAAGAAAATTATCTTCAAACTTAATTCCACTATATAATAAAACTAAATCAAGCACAGGCAGAGTCCGCCTACAAACGTTTACTTCACTGCTAACGTGTATACTAGTGAAACCAAATTGTTCGGATGCAAACAAACACAGACTGACATAAGAAATCAGTATAAATATTTTTACGAAAGCAAAGGACTAAGGTTAATGTCTGAAATTATTTCGTATGATCTTTCGTTATCAAAGATCAAATTTCGAATACAGATTCAAGTCAGATTTTCGATTGAAATGAAAGATTGTGGAAGCATTATTCTCCCGCCAAATGTCCATCATTTGAGTTCATAATTAAGTTTAGTAACCTGTTGTAAACATTTAATATCTAAGTCTACTGATTTCTAAGTCTCCTAAAATCTATCTATCTATCTATCTATCTATCTATCTATCTATCTATCTATCTGTGTCTGCTAATATCTAAGTCTACTAGTATCTAAGTCTACTAATATCTAAGTCTGCTAATATATAAGATGACTAATATCTATCTATCTATCTATCTATCTATCTATCTATCTATCTATCTATCTATGTCTACTAATATTATCTCATTTTGTTCATATCTATCTTACTTGAGCTTATTCAATAATATGTAGCGCAGATAGTCATTAATGCTCAACGGAAAGGAAACACCGCCCTACAAAGAAGGAGACCTGGCCCAAAAGAAAGAGACACGGCCTCACAGAAGGAAACACCGCCCTACAAAGGAGACATGGCCCTACGGAAGGAGACGATGGCCACGCAGGAGGAGACATGGCTCTATAGAAGGAAGCGTGGTTCTATAGATGGAAGCATGTTTCTATAGAAAGAAGCATAGTTCTATAGAAAGAAGCGCCGTTCTATAGAAGGAAGCATAGCTCTATAGAAAGAAGTATAGCTCTATAGAAGGAATCATGATTCTATCGAAGGAAGCATGATTCTATAGAAAGAAGCATGGCTCTACAGAAGAAAGCATGGTGTTATGTTCCAAGTTCCTTGTACCACGGTGATGGTCCAAAATATATTACAACAGAAATATAATACAAAGAAGTAGAAGTATTAGTAATGACTATCAGATTTGGTTAGAGTGAACTATGTTGTCTCGACAAGTATCACTATTCCAATGTCCTTACAATATGCTCTCAATTATCTCTCCTCGTCTTACAAATCTCCTGATACCTCTTGAGAGGCGCAGTATTTATAATGTCAGGAATAGTCCATTATTATTATGGGTAAGTTCACATAACACATGGCTCTATAGAAAGAAGCATGGCTTTATAGAAGAAAGCATGGTTCTATAGAAAGAAGCGTGGTTCCATAGAAGGAAGCATAGCTCTATAGAAGGAAGCGTAGTTCTATAGAAGGAAGCATGGCTCAGTAGAAAGAAACTTGGTTCTATAGAAGGAAGCGTGGCTCTATAGAAGGAAGCATGACTCTGTAGAAAGAAACGTGGTTCTATAGATGTAAGCATGTTTCTATAGAAGGAGACTATAGCCATACAGGAGGCGATAAATGAAGACATGGTTACTGATGATCAACATTGACCAAAGATGATTTCGAAACGAGCCACGAAGGCGTAACAATGGAAGAAGAATTAAGATGTGAGGAAAGAAAATTAAATCACAGAAATTGTTAAAACGAAACAATGTCGAGAAGAATCACATGATAAACAAAGAATATAACCAAAAATCCTTACGATTCCAGGAGATGTAGAGATTGCTTGATTTACATATGAGAAAAATGAGAATACAAAAGTCTACATTAAGATAGCAGCAGGAGTACTAATCATGGTCATGTGTGTAAATGAACCAACAATGACTATTCCTTAACACAACAGATTGTTATTTTAAGACCGTTTAGTACGATTTTATTTATTTGATTTTTACAGCTTATCAACCCATTGTGAGTTATTTAGAGTCGAAAAAGAATTTGGATTACAAGTAATAATACTTTTTTGCGAGTGAATATTGCAGTATCATTATTTAGGAGATAACAACAACTATTTCAGCCTATTGTTTAACCCATAGTTGAACCGATTTCTCTTTCCGAGTACACCACCCGCACATCCGTCTGTTTGATAACAAACGAATCATGGACTGGAAATAATAAGAATTAAGCATCTGGCGAGAACTTAATATCGTCATCTCTAGGAATTTGTATTTCCAGGAAAAGGCCATTATTGATTTATCTACAACGTATTTATCGGCATGAATCCTTAAAATCATAGTATATTTGGAGGTTTGTTTTGAAAGTTGAAATTTATTTGCGAAACATTTTCTTACCGAGCGACATTGATTAATTACTGAGACAATCTATGTTACAATATGATTTATTTCCGTCATTATCAAATCAATTAATTAGCATCGAATATAGGATTTCGTTATTTGGTATGTATCATCGAAAATACTAATGGTATGAAAATTAAATAATAGTTTTGTCTTCAAAAATGAAACCAAAAGTTACAAGTTATATTCTGATATTCATATAGAATGTTTTTTTGTTTTTTTTACATTTTTCTTTTCTTATGTGTCAGTAAGATTCATTTTCCCGAATTAATATTCAGGAATATTTTTATGGTTTTCCGTATTACTTTTCTATTCAGACGAAAAATACGATCTTTTTTGTCATTAATCCCTTTTTATGTCTTCAGTTTGATTTTTTTTCCTAGTAGATACAGCTGGATATTTTACGACACACGGTCACACGATAAGACACATGTAAACGGAAAGATACACCAATAGAGAGAAAGACTCCAGGAATTATGACTATTACTTCGATTAAACTTATCACCAACTCATTCATCCAAAAATACACTCGGATATTATCTTACTCTATCCATATTTATGGAGCTATTCTCATGTAGCTGTAATTAAGTTCCTGTTTTTGAAAGGTAACACATTAAAGAAGAGATGTCAGTGGAGTGATATTAAATACTGTTATGGACATTTCAAATGTTACTCTTCAGTGGAAGAAGCTTCTTTTTTTCTTTCCACCCTTGCTAAACCATTCATCGAGACACAATCTAATAATACAGGAATGCTATCTTAGAAGATAACTACCGTAATTTCACATGTATAATACGCATTTTTTCTAAAAAGTAATAAGCAAAATTAGGGGTGTGTATTATGCACAGCTACAAAAAAATCTTTAAAAATTGCCGTTTTATAGGTCGATTTCAGTTGCGAAATGACTGTTCACCGCAAACATACGACAATTTGACTCGGCGATTGTGACCCTATAAGGATAAATACAATCATATGCATCTAACAATACTTACAAATGTAAAATAAAATAAGAATTATCATAAAACTAAATTAGAAAGATATTATTCTATGTTTAAAATCATTTTTTGTGAAAAATCTACGGCTATTCGACGAACTATAAGCGCCGCCATATTGCTTCCACATGATCCATTCTGATTGGTCGAGACTACCGGAATAAAAAAATGTTTATTTTGGTGGAAACAGATCTCGGTAAAATGTGTGTGTATAAGCTAAATGACCAGTTAAAAATGAATTCAAGAAGAACAAGTTACCCCAGTGAATTCAAGCGAAAAGTTATTGTTGTGGCAGAACAAGTGGGAAATCGTGCAGCAGGAAGAAAGTACGATAGAAATGAAACAAATATAAGATTATGTAGAAAAATCAAGGAGAAAAATTGTTGATGCAAAACATTCTTCTCGAGCCCCCGGTACAGGAAAAGAAGCCAAGTATCCTCAAATGGAAAAAGAATTGGTGAAGAAAACTGCAGAAATGTGGGCTGCTGAATTTGCCATCAGCACTATAGGCATAAAGTTGTTGGCCCTGAAAAAGATGAAAAATACCCTGAGGAAACTTTCAAAGCTTTTCCAAATTGGTGCTACAGTTTCATGAAGAGGAGCAACCTGTCCATCCAAGAGAAAAAACTTCAACTGAACAGAAATTGCCTCATGATCAAAATGAATAAATTTCATTGAATCGATTTCTTTGTTTCTTTATTCATTTTATTCTTTCTTAAATATTTCTCAGACCAACACTTATTCTGTCGTTTTTTTGTTTTGAAGCAAAACTGGAGTCATGTATAACTAACTCGAACTGCATACAGATCCGGTTGATTGCACGAACAAAAACAGGTTAATGAGTCTGCGCAGTAGGCACACTATACATATTTCCGTTTCCTTTTAGAATTGTGATGATCGAAAATTTTGATAAATATCTTCAATTGTGGCACCATTTAACGAGGCAGAAAAAGAAAAGAAAGAAAAGAAGGAAAGGAGAGGCTAAGGACCGAATCGTGGATGATAAGCAGAACACCGCGGCTAAGAGACAATGGTTGAAGGATATTCTGATAAGTAACAAATGGCGAAAGAGTGTCATTACAATGACAGGGAGGTTCTGAGTGGATGGGGGAGTCGGGTGTGTTTTGGCAACGGCTGTGTTATCTAGGGATACGTAAACAAACTGCTGGCCGACTGGCCAAAGAAAAATTCAAATGAAAATGTTATTTCGATAAGTGACGAAAAACAGGTGAGCAAAAGGGCTCTGGGTAGATATGAAAAATTAAAAGCCACACAAGACGTGTCCACTGACTGACTTCTTTCGACGGAACATCTTTGGCCTGCGATAATAAAATTATGTTTCAGAAATATGTACCAAAGGGAAATGAATGGGAAAATTCAAATGAAAATGTTATTTCGATAAGTGACGAAAAACAGGTGAGCAAAAGGGCTCTGGATAGATATGAAAAATTAAAAGCCACACAAGACGTGTCCACTGACCGACTTCTTTCGACGGAACATCTTTGGCCTGCGATAATAAAATTATGTTATCAGAAATATGTACCGAAGGGAAATGAATGAGAATTTAGAAATGTCTTTTCGGGGCGACTTTTGGCCGTGTTAAAAAGACCACCCATTGGGATAATTAGCGATAAAATGTCTGACGAAGACCACGTGTAGAACAAGAGTTATGACCGCCATTGTTCATATTGTCCCGTTTTCGGCTAGAGGAAGAAAAGAAAAAAAAGAAAAAGATAATTTTTTTTTAGTTAAGCAAGATATTTTTTTTTCCTGAAACAAAACCGCGGATTCGTCCACGCCCGACTAAGACATCATTGGTCGAGTGGTGATCACGTGACGCACGAAGGAGGCTGTCGCCGCCCATCCAGAGTATAGGTATTAGAAGCTGCTACGAAGAAGTGGGGAGGGCAGTTCACGCCCCTCTGAAGTATGGTGAGAAGGTGGGAGTAAGGAAAAAATGGAAAAAAGTGGAAATTCCTAACCAGAGAGGTGGATATGTATTTAGAATTATCGAGAAACCCCGACGCCGACACCCCCCGGTTTTGGTCGGCGTCCATATAAGCGAAGCCACAGCAAGCAGAAATCAGTTTGAGTTGAGTTTCAGTTCGAGTTGGAGTTGCAGCGAAGAGTCAGTCTCCAGTTGAAGCCGCCTCGCAGATAGCTGACCAAGATTCACGCAAATTCCGGACTCCTCTTCAACCCAAGAACAATTATTTTGAAGAGCGACTTAGATCCAGACCACCAAAATAAGTTTTTTTTTTTCGACGTTCGTCCGAAGACACACCGAAAAACCAATTTCTTAGAGAACAAACAACTTGAAGCGTTAAAACTCGCCTAACGGAAAACGACGTGTTACAATCCATAGAACGGGTCGGGAGTTAGATGCAGTCCTATGTATCGAACAACTAGACATAAAATTTGTTACCTTTTTCTTTGATACCTTGAACTTTTGAGCTTACATTTTATTTTCTTTTATGCATATTTGTGTGGTGTCACCCCCGTTGAACTCGGTTTGCATTACGGCCCCAACCACTGTTTGATCTCGTCTGCCTAAGATCAATTCACAACGTGGGTAGGCAGACTGGGGATCAATGAAGTTACTTTGGTAACCAGGCGTTGGAAGCGAGTTGGGAACGACGAGGCTGATATCAAATCTAACCAGATTCCCATCCGAATCACCAAAAGGTTAGAACGTCACATTTGGGTGCCGCGGCCGATACCAAGCCAGTTGGTCGTCATAGGACGAGACAACACGACTGACGCGACAGGCGGACGTCACGTTTGGAGCAGCGACACCCGAACGGAGGAGCGAACGGCTGGCGCCGCGGCGAGGACGTCACAATTGGTGCTGTTTAGGGACGTCACAGTTGGTGCCGTGGTAGACCAGGATAGAACGTCACAGTTGGCGCTGCGACCAGGGGACGACGTCACACAATTACAGCTTGAATAAGAGTAGGAAAAGCTGGATGTAATGAAATTGGAGAAGTACAATTTATAGGGTTTGATTACCAAAAAAGGAGTGCGTATTATGCGTGAGTAGAAACATTTTCGCACACTTTCAGCACAATTCTAGGGGTGCGTATTATGGATGAAGGCGCATTATACATAGGGAATTACGGTATTCAAGAACCAGGAAATAGGTTCGAGTTTAATGTGGGGGTCTGTAGAAAACACATACCTGACTTACATATGCGGTAATTGCATCCCTCGTTTGCTTATACCTTTCAAGAGGGGAGCCGAGGTTCATGGAATTTTGCCTTTCCAGAGGGGAGCCGGGGTTCATGGAATTTTGCCTTTCCAGAGGGGAGCTGGGGTTCATGAAATTTTGCCTTTCCAGAGGGGAGCCGGGGTTCATGGAATTTTGCCTTTCCAGAGGGGAGCCGGGGTTCATGGAATTTTGCCTTTCCAGAGGGGAGCCGGGGTTCATGAAATTTTGCCTTTCCAGAGGGGGGAGCCGGGGTTCATGGAATTTTGCCTTTCCAGGGGGGAGCCGGGGTTCATGAAATTTTGCCTTTCCAGAGGGGAGCCGGGGTTCATGGAATTTTGCCTTTCCAGGAGGGAGCCGGGCTTCATGGAATGTTGCCTTTCCAGGGGGGAGCCGAGGTTCATGAAATTTTGCCTTTCCAGGGGGGAGCCGGGGTTCATGGAATTTTGAGCATGTATCAGGCAAACCAAGAAACTATTTATTTTGACTGGATGAAACATGAATTCATCACTTTTTGTCGGCGAGACAAAAGCAAAAAGCGACAGACACAGACAAAATTACATTCCAGACAATGGAAGCAGGGATTCCCTCCAACCCAAAATAATACAACTCTCTTTTTTTTAAGATTTTTTGAGATCTAAACGTGTGATGGCGCTTATGGTCAATGATCCCACAGCACAAACTAATAATCCATTGTTGTTAAAATTACGGTATGTTACCAAAACCAACAGCAAGGTGTGTAAAGCTGCCCTGATATTGCAAGATGATGTCTCATTACGCGACCCAAGCTACAAAGATACGACCACAAAATCCTTCCCTATCACACAGTTTCTTAACCATCTGATTTCCACCTGTTTATTTCCATGAAGCTATAGATAAAAGGTAATTATTTCCAGATTAATGAAGTATGCGGGTCCAGACTGTGGAGAAAGATAATCCCAAAGTGAATCAGGCGACTGAAGAAGCGTGTAACTTTGAGTGGAAGCTGCGTGAAGGAGGATTAATCAGTGTGCCATCAGAATTGGATCAGGACAAATCTTTAATGAATGTATATCACAAAAGACATCAAAGAACTGATGGTATGGGAAATTGGCTAAAATATTTACAAGAAGTAAAAAATTGTTATATATTGAAAATTATAAACAGGTACGTGTGTGGCACCCTGCATTATTAGAAAACTAAAAAGAGATAATCATAGAAATATGATTTAATTTTTATTCGGTTTATTAACCAGTTAATATTTATTTAGAGATGAAGAATAATTGAGTTTTGAGAATAATTCTCTAACTGTATTTAGGCGATCCGAAGGGAAGAAGAAGGAGGAAAGAAGAAAGAAAGAGGGAAAAAGAAGGGAGAAATAGATAATACAAAACCCGGTCATAAGCAAAACAGGTGTCAAAAGATATCCAGGTCAAAGTACCTGACCGAAATCCAGGGAAATAGAAATTGTTATTTGAAAGAATAGAGTTTAGAAATAATAAAAAGAAAGAAAGGGAAAAGACATGACATCAAGACGGGCCGCAAGCGGATAGGCACACGTACGATTGATAAATACCAGATATCGGTCAAAGCACCTGACCTACTTTCGTGTCCGCGGAGTATGGGAGTTCATTATCAATTTGGTTGAGGAAATGGGATTTTTAGAACAATGGAAAAAAAATATTAATAAGTGACAATCGAAAAGGGTGTCGTTGAGTTGATAAGTGACCGCTGGAATTGTATACATTAGTATACAAATCCTGACCAGCTCTAGAGTTGAAGATAAGAACCACCCACGATGATGAGTGAAGATATTTTCAATTCAGATAATTAAGATTTTATTAACAGGCCTGAGTGAAAGAAAAGAGGTGAAAGCAATTGTTTTAGCTCACAGAGAGCGCCAGCAGGGCGAGAAAAATTCTTCCTGAAGTCACATCTAATTAGCGGCGGGATAGTTTGACAAATACCGCGTACGAAAAGGACAATTTGGATTTTGTTTTTTTTTAGTAAGGTGTTTCTTCCCCAGAACAAAGCCCCGGATTGACCACGCCCGATTGGAGACGTCACGAAGGAGGGAGAGACGCCCGACCAGAGTCTCATTAGCCGAGAGCGGTCACGTGATGTGAGAGAGAGGGGGAGGGACGCTCGACCAGGGTCTCATTGGCCGAGGGCAGTCACATGAAACATGAGGGAGGAGGAAAGACGCTCGAGAGCGGTCACCTGACATACGAGAGACCAGGGAAACGGGTATGCGCCTCCCCCCCCAGAAGCACTGTGAGGAAGTAGGAGTGAAAATAAGAGCGATAATGGGAAATCAGGAATAATGCAACTTTTGGAATTATCAAGAAAACCCTGGCGCCGACAGACCCACCCCAGTTTGTTGCGGCGTCAATAAAAGCAGGACTCCAATCGACAGAAATCAGTTGCAGCTGGACCGCGGACAGCGAGGGAGCTTGAACGCGGGCGTCGGGCCCGGTTCATTCGCCCCTTTCCGGGCAAGAGAATCCGGAGTGAAGAAATTCGTCCAGCCCAAGTCGAAGTGAAGAAAATTGCTCGAAAGCTAAGAAGAGTTGGAGCTGCAGCCCGAAAGTCGATGAGAAGTTAAGTTGGAGTTGCAGGCCAAACAGGCAGAAGAGTTCAGCCCCGGACGGCAGAGAGAAGAGTTCAGCCCCGGACGGCAGAAGAGTTGCAGAGCGGACGATAAGAAGAGTTGGAGCTGCAGCCCGAAAGTCGATGAGAAGTTAAAGTTCAGCCCCGGACGGCAGAGAGAAGAGTTCAGCCCCGGACGACAGAGAGAGAGTTCGGACCTTGGCGAGAAGAAGTTGCAGTTGGAGTTGGAATCACACCAAGCCTATGAAGAGAAATTCGTCCAAGACAAGTCGAAGTGAATAAATTCGTCCAAACCAAACCTAAGAATAGAAATTCGTCCAACCCAAATCGAAGTGAAGAAATTCGTCCAACTCAAGCCGAAGTGAATAAGCTCGTCCAACTCAAGCCGAAGAGAAGAAGTCGATTCGCGCACTGACGGCGAGAAGAATCAGCCGTGAACGACTGGTAGAGATCAGCGCCCAGTGTCGAAACCAAACCACACCCCGACATGCAAATTTCTAGAGAGTAGGCAACTCGAAGTCTTTAAGTTGTATGGTAGAAGCTTGGTGCCACAGTCCACAAAACGGGTCGGGAAGTAGGAATAATTTTTATGTAACGAACATTTAGATATAAAAGGTTGTTACCTTTTTTTTTTCAGTAATTTTTGGCCTCGTGAGTTTTTCTTTTTCTTGTGTGTTATCACCCCGTCGAACTCAGCTTGCATACGGCCCCAATCCCTGTTTGATCCCGTCTGTCTAAGATCTAATCACAACGTGGGTAGGCAGACCGGAGATCAGTACAGTTACCCCAGTAACCAGGCGTTGGAAGCGAATTGGGAACGACGAGGCTGGTATTCATCTAACCAAAGGGTTAGAACGTCACACTTGGAGCAGCGAGGAGCGAACAGCTGACGCCGCGGCAAAGACGTCACAACTGGTGCTGTCCGTGACCAGGATATCAGACCCTTATAGCCACGTCGTCACAACTGGTGCCGTGACCAAAGGATCGTGGGCAACCACGTGACGTCACAACCGGAGCCGCGAACGAGATCGAACGACAGAGTCGACGCTGCGACCGGGGGGCGACGTCACACGTGTACCGTGCGAGACGAGAGTGGGTTTTGTTTTAAAGCAACAGACAATAAAAAATGAACTAACTCGAAAGAGTTTTTAAACATGCACTGTGAAATGTGTCATGAGTAGATTTGATATCTTTATTTACGCTTGTATAATTCAATAGAGAATTACTTTATTGTCAGTAGAATTGATTTTCCGACAGATTCTAAAGGATTATTTTTTAATCTGAAATTCAACGAAACAATTAGATGAAAGACTAGATAATCGAACTTACGATTGATATAATTTCTAGGTTTAATATCAGTTAACGTAAGCATTCAATATTGCTCAACAGCACACATATCTATCTATCTATCTATCTATCTATCTATCTATCTATCTATCTATCTATCTATCTATGTCTACTAATATTTATCTATCTCTTTCTGTTCATTATGTATGTATGTATCTATCTATCTATCTATCTATCTATCTATCTATCTATCTATCTATCTATCTATCTATCTCATTCTGTTCATATCTATCTATCTATCTATCTATCTATCTATCTATCTATCTATCTGTATGCGTGTGTGTGTGCATGCGTGTGTGTGTATGTGTAACTGTGTGCGTTTATACTATTTGTAACGCCAGGTTCTTTCAGAAAACATGCGATCATCTTCATTAAAATAATTTTTCTTCATTATCCGTGAACGCAGTTTGTTTCCTGTTGTCTTTTTCATGGCTTCGGATTTAGAGATTTATTTCCCTGAGACTGGTTACCAACCAATACTAGAGAGTCACTTGTATCCACAGCTGAGGAGGGAAGAGTCAGATTCATGCCTTTCACAGGGTCGTTTATGACAAATTGAACGCAACAGACAAACCCGGAATTTGGACGGCGCGACGATAACCCTTACACTTCCCGCGCATCTATTTATATACAATACCAAATTTTTTTATGCACGTTATTTTAAGTGAATGCTGGTGAATCCCTTCACGATGAAGAAGAGACTCGAGGCAACAAAAATGTTGTTCTACAGAAGGATGCTGAGATTACAATGGACTGAACATGTGAGCAACGATGAATTTTTCAGAGAAAATACAAACGGAAAGGATAGATACTTAGAATCAGAGAATCAGAGAGAGAGAGAGAGAGAGAGAGAGAGAGAGAGAGAGAGAGAGAATTTCTAGGATACATAATAAGACCAAATGGATTAGAAAAACAGACTCACAGGACATATTGAGTGCAAGAGCATAAATATGTCCTATATTATTTACATTATTCGGACTATTTTCCTCATCTTTGTCGCCATATTTATTACAACGTTTCAGCCGTTGTACGATCCGGCCTTCTTCAGGTGGTTGGAATATCGAACTGAACCCTTTATTTCACTCACTGGGGTAGACTTTTCTAGTTCCACGTTCCATGTTTAATGGATGTCAGTTATCAGTTATCTCCTGTTAATTCCCCTCTCCAAGTTCTGCACTGCCTTAACCGGGTATTGAACTCACAATCTTTGGGTCTTGTCGATGGAACTAACGATGGAACTAAAGGCCGAAACGTTGGGATAAATATGGCAACAAAGATGAGGACAATAGTCCGAATAATGTAAATAGTGTACATAATACCTCATCTCAGAAATATAGACAGATACTAAATATGTCCTGATCAGATTCTTCCTAGGTCTTTTGAACAGGAGTAGAGGCTTATCTCTTTTTTCCTGTTTAGGGTTGGATTCTTCTCGTTCTCTTTCACTCCTAGTGGACCCTTGCGTCTTAGTGGCATTATCGCCTTGCTTGAGGTGAACTGATTAAAAAAAGAAGAAAGTCATATGAAACCAGCGCAAACGAGCTTCTCTAAATTGTTGACAGAACAGGGATTAGAAGAGATAGAGAAAACATAATAAGAGCTACAACGGACGGGAAGCTGTGGAGAGTCATGTTCACCGACATCCTGAAAGGACATGGCACATACAAGAAGACTGGTAAATTTACAGTATATATTTCCATTTATATAATGAATATAATATCTGAATTTTTTATTAGAAATATTTAGAATAGCTTATTTAGGGCTGTGACGTTTTATTATAAAACTCGACGTTTGTTTATTATGTTGTAAATAAAAATATCTAATCCCATATTTAGATTTAAGTTTCAGATATGTAAAGATTGTCATGATATGAATGGTTGCAAAAGTTGTAGTGTTCAATCTGTAATTGCTGCAGGTGTCAGGGATGAGTTCCTATTGAGCATATGTTTTTTTTTTAATGAAATAAAGATGCACTGCTTCAGAGACGGATATTTAATTTGTAAGTATTCGTGAATTATGTCTGTTTTGGATTGAAAACAATACCAAGTCAATGATGAAGGTACCAAGTACTAGAAACTAACGACAATTATATTCTTCAAACGTAAATTACCTTACAAAACAGATAATTCCATATTTTAAACGCAAAAGCAACGTACTAGTTTGGAAGCGAAGATCTCGCCCGTTTATTTGTGAAATTGTCAAGTATAAGCAGAAATTCTAGTCTAATGTTTTCTTCTCACACGTTTTTCGTCTATAAAACCTTCTTCCAGTTTCTTGATTCCAAGTAAGATCTTCAAAAATTTCAGTTTCATTCGTCTTTTTGAAGAATCATATTCTTTGTTTCGTTGTCCATTTCTCAGTTTCTTTCACTCTCAGCAAACCGTCACATCTTTATCACCTTTGCTTGGGGTAAAATCTTAAAAAGCCCATTCTATTATCTGTCTATATCTCTGAGATGAGGTATTATAATAATTTATATTATCTACATTATTCGGACTGTTATCATCACTTTCATTGTCATATTCAAAACGTTTCAGGTGATTCGAATTTCGAACCGAACTCTTTATTTCGTCCGCCTCAAGGAGACATGGCCCAGTGGATAAAGTCATTGGTTAGATCCAGTGACTAGATCCAAAGATTTGCGAGTTCAATACCAGGCTACAGCAGTGGTGAACCAAAAACTTGAACAGTTGAGTTAAAGGGAAATAAACGAGACATCAGGAAGAGGCATGGTACGTGGAACTAGAACAATCTACTTCGTTGGACGAAATAAAGGGTTCGATTCGAAATTCCAACCACCTGAAAAAGGCCGGAGCGTACGACGGCCGAAACGTTGTGAATATAGTAATGTAAATAATGTAAATAGATATTCTATTAGTTTTTCAGCATTTAGCTATTTAAAAAAAAGTTCTGATGATGTAAAATGTTAATATCATCAGGGTTTTCCTAATTAACGAAAGAATTCCCAATGATGGCAGAGGTCAGAAGGCGATCAGAGGCTAAAGCGTAGGATTTCGGTATCTGATTATTTATGGTAGATATTTTCCTTAAGCGAGGTAAAAACAGCAATCCTATATCCAGTTTCTATGACATATGGCTCACTATAGGGGTTTACTAAACATAACATAGTTAGACACAACATCATGTTTTTGACTATTTAGTGAGCATTTTTGTAGATACCTAGAGTAATAACCGTTGCTCAACAGGTTTAAACACTGAAAAAATGGAGAGCGTAGAAAAAAAGTATTTCGTATACACCTTCACCTAACCATCATTGATTTCCGTTAAATCGATCACGTTGTTCACGAAAAAAAATTTAAGAATAAATTATTCGTGAAAAAGTCAAGAAAAGTATAAGTAAAGTGAATGGGAATTGTACACAAAAAGCAAAATGGCGGATTATTGAACCAATTGAAAATGTGGATAGGCAATCGGAGAAGGGACGCAAATAATCACCAAGAAACAAAAGCAAAAAAAAAAAAAAAAGAAGGGAATCGTTATCTAAAAGAAAAGACGATAAAAATATCCATATTTAATTCAGAATTAACAATGAATTTTATTGTCGGAAGACTGTGATGATATTTTCCATTTCGATCTGACAACGAAAAAAAATTCATCGAATTTTCTTATTAAGCAATTTGTTATTTGAATAGATTTATCAATATTTCGATAAAGAAAATGATGGATACAGGAAGGAACGATCGCAGTTTTGAGGGCGGCGCGTACACAAAATTGCAATTCGGTTTCAAGTTTATTAATTTCTACAGAAAAATCATTTCTGAACAAACGGTACTCGAGTTTATTTATTTCACAGCTTGAACGGATGACTGTACGTGAAAATATATGTAAAAACAATACAGACATATGAATAAGCTTACATAAGCGCATACATCATCATATACACATTAGCACACGCACGCACGTACGCACACACACACACACACACATAGAGGTATTTAATTAATACACAATGAATAAAATCACAAATCACCACAATGAAGAATAAGCTTATTTCTGTAGACGAAAATATAAGTCGTCTGTCTTATCAACCACGGTATGGAATGAGATCGTGTCAGAAATAGAAATTTAACGGTGATAACTAAGAAAAAAAAAGCCATTAGATATTATATATTTTTCTGTAGCATTTATAATTTAAAATTTTCAAATTTAAAATTTTATTTTATTTTTAAACTTCATATAATAGTGCTTTTTAATAATATTATTAAGTTTTATACATTTTCGATTTTTTAAAAATTAAAAAATATGTATTTTCATATTGTTAATAATTTTTGATATATTGTCATGTGTTTGCTACAAATTGTATTAATCAAGATTAATATTATTATTAATATTATTAATACATTTTATTTTATGTTATTCCTACTTTGTTGGAAATCTTTAATATTTTGTTATGGGTTAATTATAAATTGTATTGTTGTGTGTGTTTTCGAATGTCACTGCGATATGCCTACATATGATAATTCACTGTGTCTTTATTTATTCCCCATTCCTCTGTTCGTCTCTTTCTTTCTTCTTTCTCCTTTCCTCCCACTCCCCGGATTTACAAGTTGTCTTATTTTTCCGTTTCCTGTCCAAAAACTTATTTAAGAGGTCAAATTGTCTGGCCTCTTGACTGAGTAAACTTGAACCTACGTAACTTAAACACAACCTCCCTACCTTCCATTTCTAATTTAGATAATTCTGTGATCCTCCCCCTCTCGCCCCTCCTGTCACCTTACATCAATCTAAAACTATCCCTCTGGATTACATCCTCTTTGGAATTATGCATATGGATTACCAAAACCTTCATTACATCACTATATATATATATATATATATATATATATATATATATATATATATATGTGTGTGTGTGTGTTTGTGCAAATATATAGAAAATAGGAAAGAATACGTTAGGTAAATAATCCGAAGTTCTTTAGAATTTTTGTTTTTATTTTTTTTTAAAAAGTGCTCAATACAAAAGTAGAGACTAAATTATAATTATTTAAAAAAAAAATGATTCCTTCGCTACATTAGAGTTCTCATGTTTCAAAAACAAGACCCAAATGCTCTGTTTCATCCTCAATCGAAATTTTTTGGAATTAACGTTATATTTAGTGGGGACACATGCTATAGTTGTTGCTATTCCTGTTTTGGATTTTCTTAAACAGTATAATTAATTACAACTGACTTTGATTAAGAAGTTCTACTGAAGAAAAATGTAACTCCGACAAGAATCGAACCTGTATCAAACACATATTTGATTAAGG